AACAACAACAACAACAACAACAACCTCTATTGTTAATCTTTTGGCATACCTTCTTCAACCCCCTTCTTCCCAGTGTCTCTATTGGTGCATAACTGGACTCATACAGTGTGCATATTTTATCTTGTTTCTTGATTTCAACTTAACATGAGACCTGATCATTTTCTGATGAGACAAAAATGTCTGGGGGAAACTCCTGTCAACGGTGGCATTCTCTGTCCTCACAGGGATGGGGACGACTTGACTGAGGCATTTCCCTTTAATTGAATGTCTAAGTTCATCCTTTTTATGGTTATTGTTACAACTATACATGGCATAAAGTTTATACATTTATAGAAGAATCTATTTCTACATCAATCTGTAACCTTCTATAAATGAGATTATTCCTTAGGGTAGAGTTCTTGAAGGTATAACTTTCAGTAGTCCCTCCTCTTTTATCTTTTCATAATTACAAATAATTTGAAAATTTTAAAAAGGAGGACTGAGGCACACCCACACCCTGTCTATGCATGTGCTTTTTCCAGAATCACGTGAAAGTCAATGAAAGACACCACAGCCCTCTATCTCTATTTCAGCGAGGATTTCTAAGTCAGGATCTTCCCTTACACAATCACAGAGCAGTCAGCTGCATTTCTGAATGATGATGAAGTCAAGTTGTGGGCCTGTTACACAGATGTTACGCATGTCTGGGAGCCACTGACCAAATCCGCTTTGATCCCCTCATTGGGACACTGCTCTCTTATCTCCTCTGCTAGAACATTCCATTCAGATTTCCCCGCCGAGTTCAGACCTGGTGTCTTCCAGAAAATCCCACTAGGTCTCTGGTCTCTGAGTTCTGGAACATTTTATGTGGGTTCCCTTAATTCTGCACTGCAGGCTACATAGTATCTGTTTATTTATATTTTTATGTCTCAATTTCTTATCTCTCATCCAGATTTTAGGGTAAAGGCCACAGACCATGTCTTAGACTTCTTCTAATTCTCCAGTTGTCTCATATGTGTGCGAAAGCTGGATAATGAGTAAGGGAGGCTGAGGAAGAAGCGAAGACTTTGAATTAAGGTGCTGGCAGAGACTGTCGGCTGCATCAAGACGGACAGAGGTGACAGACAGCTTTGGAGGAAGTAGGGCCCGAATGCTTCGGAGACGTGTGGATGGTGAGACATCATCTCACGTGCTTGCCCACGTCAAGAGGAACCAGTTTCTGGGGAAGGACATGTCAGCAAAGGACAAGACGGCCCTCAATGAGATGAACTGAGACTGGCTGGGTAGATGGAGCACAGCGGA